CACCTCCACTGTGCCTCTCACGTGCAAGGCTCGCCACGTTGATCTTCTTTGAACTCCACCTCCACTGTGCCTCTCACGTGCAAGGCTCGCCACGTTGATGAAGTTGAGCGCGAGCTGCCCCCATCCCCGTATGCCATAACAGCCCCCTTGCACGCTGTGAGAGAGGCAGAGTGAAGGGGAAGGTTTTAAACACAGGGAAAAGAGACAGAGAGAGGACAAACAAAGAATGGACGAGGGAAAATACAGAGTGTAGAATGAGGAAGAGGGCAACGGAAAGGGCAAGAAAAAGCTCAAGAATGAGGCTGTCCTTGATGACAGAAAGGACACACATTGTAAGGATGGGGTGGATGAACACATGGAAGACCTAACTGAGCATTCTCAAAACAACAACTATTGTCACATAACTATGAACAAAAAGAGCGCACTTTGCAACACAAACGGCAAAAAAAAAAAAAAAAAAAAAAAAAAACAAGACAAACATGAAGCGCACTGAAACCATTCGTTTTTCTCATTCTTCTTTTGACTCCCCCTTCACCGTGCCTCTCTCTCTCTACACATATCGTCACAGAGCTATGAACTAAAAGAGCGCACTTCACAGAGCAAACGGCACAAAAAAAAAAAAAAAAAAAAAAAAAAAAAAAGCAAGCCAAACATGAAGGGCACACTGAAACCATTCATTTTTCTCATTCTTCTTTTAACTCCCCTTTCACCGTGCCTCTCACGTACACAAGGCTCGCCACGTTGATGAAGTTGAGCGCGAGCTGCCCCCATCCCCGTGTACCATAACGGCCCACTTGTACGCTGTGAGAAAGACTCAGCGTGAAGGGGGAGGGGATATACACTTGGAGGAGAGATGGTGAGCAGACAAACAAAGAACAATAAAGGGAAAGTAAGTGAAGTACGGAGTGTTGAGTGAAGATGAAGAAAAAGCTCATTATGAGGAACGATAAAGGGGATCCACCTCATCCTTACAATGTATGTCCTCTCTGTCGTCAAGAATGAGTCTGTCCTTGACGCCAGAGAGGACATACATTGTTAAGGATGAGGTGGATGAACACATGGACGACCTAGCTTAGCATCCTCCGTGCAACAATTGCCACGACGGCTGGCATTGAGCATGCCCACAATACACCCCCTACAAATGGCATGTTGATTGCAGGCCAAAGTGAAGGAAGAACGGTCACCACAAAAGAGCATGCATTCAGTGTAGCACCCATGGCCGCAAAATGCACATATAGTGTCCGGATGCGGAGGGTGCCTGCGGTCAGGAACGGAGGGACAGTCCTCTACACACATGGATGCAGAAACCATGGCATTGTAGTGATTGTGACACAGACGATGGCGGCTACAGCAGAGCGTAACAGTGTTTGTGGCTGTGCAAAGGAGAAGGTCGCAGAGTGTTGGTACATTGTGTTGCTGCAGCACGGGGCCAGAGGAATGATCTTCGACATAAAAGAGATCGTGGACGGTTTGTTGTGGCAAGAAAACAGCATCATTTGTAAGAAATCGGTGACGTCAGTCATGGCATGGACCACATGGTGCCGTTGTCCCACAGCTCCCAGTGGTCAGAGGCATGTACGAACGATGGCCATGTAATGGACCAGGTGCATGTGCAACAATACAGGCAGAGATGTGTGATGGAGGATTAAACCACTGACCTGCTCGAGCATTGCGTAGTTCAAGTTGACGGTCCCTCGTTGCTACTTGTAGGACAGCAATGGTAAAGCCTCCTTCACTGGTATCATTACAATCCTCTGGCTGGCTGTAGTTGGGGAAGATCAGCATCAAGCATCAAGCTGAAGGGCGATTGCAAGGAAGTCTGATGGTGTATAAAACGGGCGGTGGAGAATGTGAAGACAGATATTAGGTTGCTGTCAGACCACAGCGATTGGTGAGGAGGTTCTCAGGCTGGTTTGTTGGATGCTGGCCAACTATTTGCAGATCATCCACATGGTCTTGCAGATCACCTAAACTGTGTTGGGTTGTTCGCTGGTCAGTCATTTGCAGATCACCCAGGTGGTCTGCGCGTGGAGGAGCACAATTTTGTGGTTCATCTGAACAATGCTGGTCAGCCATTTGCAGATCCCCCATGTGGTCTACGCCTTGTGGGGTCAACTGCAATCCGGGCAGATTTTATAGATATATATCGTCACAAATAGAACTGCCCGGTAAACCGTAGGCAGAGAGAGAGAAGAGGACAACAAACGAGGGGCTGTGACAAACTGTTTTATATATATGACGATATATATATATATATATATATATATATATATATATGCAGCTCGCCATCGAATACATGGGGAACCAAGGGGGGGA